TCTTCCACTTAGTTATTTTATGTATAAATGACATTCTGTTTTCTAGGTGACTGTCACGTGTAGATATGTCACCCTGGGCTCTGTGAGCAAGAAATCAAGGGAGATAGTCTAGATTTCTGGAGTTTCCTACAGTTGTATTTTTATTAACTCATCTCCCTGGTATGGCACTTTCAGGACCAGACTGGTCCCGAATGAGGGATTTTTCCAGACCAGGGGAGGTCATTTCAGGGCCTTCCCTTACCCTCCTCTCCCCACACCAGCTTCCTCCCACCCCCAGCAGCCCAGCTGAGCCCATGCGTGGGCTCTCTGCCCCTCTGGCAGCCCTGCTGAGCCCACACCAGCTCCTGGCTCCCCCCTCGCAGCCCAACTGAGCTGCACACCAGCTCCCAGGCCCCCATCCTGCTGCAGGAGGGGACTCTCTGGTCTTGGAACATCTATGGTCATGCCATGGATGTTGCTGTACCAGAGAATCCCAGATTTTAAAGGTGCAACCTGTAATTATTATATTATTAATTGTTATTAATATTATTGTAGCTCCTAGGAGTCCTAGTCATATACTAGGGCCCCATTGTAGTAGGCAAAATAAAAAGAAAGTCCTTGTCCCTCAAAGAACTCACAGTCCAAGTACAAGACAGGAGACAACAGATGGGGAGCACAAGGAGTCAGAATGACAGGCAATGGTCTCAGCACTCCAGCAGCCTGAGTGTTGTCAAGTTGGTTGTAGGCTGTGTGTGGTGACTTCCCCCGGATTCATAACTTCAGCTGACCAAAATCCTCAGGCCTGCCTCCATTGCCATAGGGTACCAACTCTCATTGCCTGAAATGGGAATTAGTTGTGTGCTTGAGGCCAGAAAACAGGGCGTCTCAGGAAGCTGACTCAAAATTCTTGAGACTTATGGAAACCACTGTAAAATTAGTTCAACATTTTTCATGGGATGGCTAGCTCTCTGCTATACCTTAAGCTTTTAAATAGCCTCTGCTGTTATCTTGGTGCATATTATTTAACTGAAGCTGCCTGCCTCACATTTCAGTTGTTGGCTTTCACATTCCTTTTGTCCTGTTCCTTTCTTCCACCCACCCTGCATTGATCAATTCTCTTTCCTTCCTACTCTGTCTCTCGCCCCACCCCCACACATGAATTTCTTACACCCACAACTGTGATATCCCCACTGTTTTTATCTCCCTTAATTTCAACCAGTCCTAGAATGACATTACCAGGTCAGGCTTTTGTTTCCCTGTACAGCTCATAAACAGCAATTGCGGCTTCCTGCACTGAAACCATCACATTTCTCTGCACTCAGTGCCTCCTATCTCCATGGAAACAGAAGCAAGGATGTGCTGCAGAGATGTGATCGCTACAATGGTTTAATGTGGAATTGAAAGGGCATGTGAGCAAATTCAGCCTGAGTTGGAGTGGGGGAGGGGAAGAACGCATCAGATATAATTTTTTGTGGTGGTCCAACTCCGGCTGAGGCACTGCTGGAAATGCTGCTGAACAAAGGATTTATTCCCTAGATGGGGTTTTTCCTCATTTGCTGGGAGATGGATGAAAATAGTCTATTTAGATCAGAGAGGTGTTCCAGGGATTTGGGAATACCACAGATAATAGTGCAACTGGCAAAAAAGATTGTTTTCTTAAGTTAGAAATAGGCGATTGAGTGTTCTGAATCAACATACAGGGAAGGAATGATGAAGCAACTGGGGAGGATTTTCTTTGCTCATAGATGTGGTTGGGTCAGACCCAGGGTCCTGTATTCTGTTTTCCAACAGCTGTCGGTGGCAAACCTATCCTCCAGGAATTTATCAAATTCTTTGTTGAACTCATTAATTCTTTTGGCCTTCACAACTGCCCCAACAATGAGTTCCACAGTGGGACTGTGTGTTGTATGAAGTAATTCCTTGTGAATTTTAAACCTGCTATTAATTTCATTGGTTGGCCCCTAGTTCTTGTGTTATGAGGTGAAATAAAAGAGGTAAATAACGCTTCCCGCTTCACTTCCCCCCATCATTTATGATTTCATCAATCTCTATCATATCTTCCCTTTTGATACCCAGCCTAAGAGCACCTGCTAGGCAGGGACGCTTGTGACAGAGAAAAGCGCCTTACTTATGGCACCCTCCTGCTTTCCTTCTGAAGTGACTGGGCTCTTGGATTCCCGCCTTGCAAGCCCACTCAGCTGCTCTGGGACTGTCAGCTGCACTTCTCGTTCTAAACACGTGTGTATCTCTATCATATCTTCCCTTTTGATACCCAGCCTAAGAGCACCTGCTAGGCAGGGACGCTTGTGACAGAGAAAAGCGCCTTACTTATGGCACCCTCCTGCTTTCCTTCTGAAGTGACTGGGCTCTTGGATTCCCGCCTTGCAAGCCCACTCAGCTGCTCTGGGACTGTCAGCTGCACTTCTCGTTCTAAACACGTGTGTAGTGCGCCAGAGGTGGCTGCATATCACTGGCGGTGTGCGCATTGCACCCCAGCCCGCTGCCATCAAGCTAGGGGCTGGGATGGGCTCCATTGGGAGCTGGAGTGTCCTGGGGAGCTGCTCGAGCCTCTGACAAAGAGGAAAACGTGCCCTGCTCAGCCGTCGCCGCCCTACGGACAGCGCCCAACCCCGAGAGCGAGCGAGCGAGCAGGGCCTGCCGGGAGTTGGAGTCCTTGATTTGCCTCTGCTTCTCCCACAGCTCGGCGCACGAAGGGGGAGGGAAAACTCCATTTCCCGTCGGGCACTGCGAAAGAGAGCGGGAGGGGCATACCGCGCGGGCCGAAGAGG